ATCGATGGGAGAGCGGACGGGATCCCGAGTTTTCCAGTAGGTATGGTCGTATGTGGTGGATGATGTCTTTGAGATGCTACATGATGGTCCGGTGGGAGGTGTGCGGAAGCGATTGGGCGCGGTTCCGTACTCTGAAGCCGGGCACTGTGCGAATCCAGTCCTGCTCGATTAAAATTATGTACAAGACGATGCGAATGCTGTGCGACTTGCCGCTCACGTCATTTATTGAACTCCTGCTCATTGCGTATCGAGGAAGAACAGGTGGCGGGCTCTGAGAGATGAGGATTGTACCAAGGAGAAATGGAGTTGGAGGTAAAACAGATAGTTAAGTTGAGCTGATATACACTGAAGCAGAAATATCATCCACTTCTACACTTTCTCAAAACTTCTAGCATGGGCTGTCCTTGATTCTAGTTGATCGTTCTCTCCCCTGCTTTCCTCCATCGCTTCACCTTGACCCGCTATGTTCTACCCACGCGACTCGGCCGAAGCCTCCCATTTCAATGCCCCGTCCGACAGCAACTGGCCAGGGAAAAAATGGGTAAAAGAGCCCCTCCTGTTCTCAGGAGCTTGGCCTCGCATCGAAGAAGCGCGTTCATAGTGGCCATCTCGCCTACCACGTCCAGGAACCCAAGATGGATACCCAGCACTGTAGGGTCTCGCGTCCACCTGGCAATGACGATACCATGCAGCATACCCAAGCCTCCTACCGCCAGCAAGTAAATGGGACCATTCGTCAGACCAGTTGCTGAGATTAGAAGGCCCACTCACAGCGTTGACATAGTGCCGAGCCACATCCTGGTCGCTGTGTCCGATTCCTGGTGATACATGCGGTGCGAGACAGCAAGGTCTTCCAAGTTCAGACCATTGCCATTTCCCATGATGAAAATAGAATGTTGAGCCCCATTACCTCGCGTAAGAATGAAGCCGCTGGTGGTGCCCCTCCGACAAGCCCACTTCTCCGACGCCCACTTCCGTAGCCTCCCAGTTGCCAACGCCAGAATCGTGCCGCAGGCTGTGATCAACAGCACGAACCGCCTCCTTGCCCCAACGGCGGCACAAAAGCAATTATCATCTGCAATATCGCTATCACAGCACCGCTCCAACATAGAAGATCTTGTGCCGGCTGACCACTGGCCCGACGCTTGCTGGGCTCGTACACCCCGATGCAGAAGCCCACTCAGTTGGTGATATCCCTGCAGTATAACAGAAAAGAGGATGGCCAGATTGCTAGACTTAAGCTGGTGTAGATTTCAGGTGCGGTTTCTCGACGACACCCTCAGCCAGTCAACTATTGATTGTATCGATGTCTCACAGCTCGCACAAGATCCCGTCAGTCATGAGAAATGCTCCGAGAGTGCCTGTGTCCGAAGCAACATCGACGAGAGTATCTACACCCAGTCGCACTGTTGCTTGGGTTAAGACTGCGATGAATTAAAGACTGCGATAAATTTAAAACCTGACCTCGAATTGGTCGCCAGCATTTTGTTGAGCGGCATGGTGCCGGTAATGTCGCTCCAAAGGAGTCATCACGCACTCGAATTGGTTGCCTAGTCTTCTCCGTGGACAGCGGAGGGAATGTACATAGCATTCACCCACGTTTGGGCGGATGGTCTCGGCGGCGCTCGCTACAGAAATGGGCCTAAACCGCTGCCAAGCCAAGAGACTGAACAGTTTATGCGGGTTGTATGATCTCGCCGGGGATGGATTGTTCTGGCTCGATTCACTTCGCATACCCAGCAAGAAATCTGTTGGCGCCGGCATCTACATCAACGCACTGTCGCGGAGCGGGTTGCCTCGTGTCGGAAACATGAAGAGATTTCGACACATCGAAATGGTGCTCGTGGAAAGTCTGCAGAATGATGAGCTGGCAATGGAATGCAGATCTGTCTGCTTTCTCGGAAGTTAGAATACGAGTATAGATGTAGAGGGGATCTGTATCCTTGAGACCATCTCTGTAGCTTGAAAAGAGGAACCGAGTCAAGGGCGAGTAGTTAGTTGCAGGTTTTCCCTCACGTTGTTGCTGAAGCATGGGAATACCTCGCTTTAAAGAAGTCTGGACTTCGAATCTGACTGGAAGAGACTTCGAGAGGGGTCTGTTAAGCATATCTCCGGAAAGAGCCTTGTGGACTCACATTTTCATTTCTATAACACAATCATCTAAGTGCAGAGGACTCACGCTAGACGCCACCTGGGGATAGTACAGCGGTCTTCCTCTCTACCAAAAGAGCATAACCGCCAACTCAAGCTGCGAAATTACACAAAGCCCTCGACAAAGTCGTCAATACCCTCATCGTCATCTGCGCCCACGTGCCCTACCATGTCTAAGGGGGCTATTAGAGCGACTAAAATTTCACCAACAAGACTGTAAACCCGATGCTATTGTTCATCGCCCCCAGCTGTTACCCTATCATACCCAGCATCATTGCATCTCCATCAAAAGCAAAAGCAATGTTTGCTCTGTACCAGGCGCCGACAAACGCATTCATGATCGTAAAACGCATTATCTGACATCGACAATTTGTGTTTCGAGAACCTGCTGTTCGCCATACATAACGCCGTGAGTGTAACTGTAGCCCCTAATAAAGAAACTGTCGCCCTCTGGCCGCAGAACAAGCGGATAAACGCATCCGAGGGGAGCGAACACGATGTCTCTAGGACTGACTACTGACGTACAACACCCGACGAGCCCATTGCCCGTGACAAAAACACTCGATTCCGGGTATTCGAAGTCCCATACCGGCTTTCCGAAAGCATAGCCGTCTGGTTTGTGGGAACCTTCGTTTGTGTCTTGCTCCACGCATCCCGAGAACGATTCTTCCAGCACGAGTTTCAAGTACGCGGAAAAATTGTCCGTCAAGTAAGTATCTTCCGCAGGATTACATTTCTCATCCAAGCCAAAAGAGAACGATGTCGCAGCGGCCGTCAGGAGATTCATTGGTAAGGGGGCTTGTGCCTTGCCGCCCCCGAGCATTGTCAGGATTCTTTTCCAAGACGTACGGAGCTGGCTTCTTCCGTCTTCCGACATGAGCAGCGCATTTCCAAAAATACTTTCGTTGTAGGATTCGGCCAAACGAACAGTGCCAATCACGCAACCAGTTAGTGACAGGACGTTCGCTCGTTTGTCGATGCCCCAAGTCGCTTTGGTGTCACCAGTTGGCTGCCACGGGACCTGTTTTCCGAATCGGAAGGGGTTTCGAAAGAGCATTGGCTCGTCCCAACGGGGGATCCATGACGGGCTATGGTTCCCATTGACGTACAGCAGCACGTCGGTTTTCTTGAAGTTGACAAGGGCCGCTTCAACCGAGTCTCGGTACACCTCTGTGACAGACTTGCTGTAATCAGCATCCAGAAGTTCTCCACCGTCGGCAAAATCCATCAAGCCGCGTAGACCATACACATGATCTCTAGCATCCGTGCTCCGGTAATTGGATGCCAGATAGAGACAGAAAAGCCAGCTTTTAGGCTGCTTGGCACACTCTGACGTCGAGGCTGCCCACCAGCAGTACGTGGTCGAGAAATCGTACTCCTTTGAAAATGTCGTCTCCATTATGATGTAGCTCGCGACAAGCTCAACACGCTCCCATTCCGTTATCTCATAATTGGCGTAAACAAGACGAACCTTATTTGCCGCGATTTCCTGAATCGCCCATACGCGTGTGAAGTAGGGGTGGGAGTACAGCCAGCGCAGAGACTTCCAGGTGGAGGCGGTACTAAAGTCGCAGTCGCTGGGCAGAGGAAGGCAGTCGCGATTCCTAGATACCACCTCTTGCAAGACCGTATCGGTCGAGCCTAAACCAGACACCGGGATGCCAAGTCTTTCGCACACGAAGTCCGAGATTTTGAACAAGGAAGACACAGCAATTTCGGCCATGCGGTCGGCCGTGTCTGGCCCGAGCCATACAAGGACAGCCTGGGCGCTGCGGTAAATTCTCAGCATCTGTCTGACTTGGAGGGAGCGCTCGGGAATATCTCTTTGATTTATGCTGGCAAAGGTCGTTAAATCACAGTCTTCAATACGTAATCGGAGTTGCGTAAGGTGCAGCTTTGACGTACCAGAGTGCATCCGCCCATATATTCCTCGAGCGATCGGGGAATCGAAGGCGGGTGAGCGCAGAATGGAGGTTTTCCGTTACGTTAACGATCTTCCCCTCGCACACGACAGGCCTCGTAACGTTTGGATCACCCCATGCATAAGAGACGGCATCGTACGAAGGCACAGCTTTCCAGTCTGCCGTGTGTAAGAGATAAGAGATGGGGTCGGAAGTGTTTCCTGGGAGAATCTCGGCGACTCGAAAAGATGTTGGAGTCGGGAGATCGACATAAGGGTTCGGTTCCATATTAAACGTCCAAGTATATGCGCAAGACCCTAGCAGTGGTGGGGGAGCGGGGCAGAGCGGGGCATAGTAGGTCATTATTATATAGAAGATACCACGTCTGCCGTGCCCCGCCTCGAAGAGTCTGTACCACGACAACAGCTACATCCGCCGGCGGCTAAAATGCCAACGACCGGCTTGATTGGCCTCGCTGAGCAATAAGTGATACTACTTCCATACTCTTGCCTTCTCCCAGTACGTCACGGCTCGTCAATTCTTTCACCCTTCCTACCACCGAGACCCAACCCTACGTCCAGTCGTATAAAATGGCTACCATTCTATCAACTTCAACAGCCGCGCGCTTTAAACTCATTTTCTTCGTGCCCCCCTTTGCTTTGGAAAAATGCAAGGCTGCAGTCTTTGCCGCTGGAGCCGGACGTTACCCAGGTCCGGGGAACTACACCGAATGCTGTTGGACAACCATGGGCACCGGCCAATTTCGCCCCGGAGACTCAGCCCGCCCGCACATTGGGGCCGCGGGCCAGTTGGAAGAAGTCGAAGAGGTCAGAGTGGAAACTCTCTGCAACGGCGACAGCACGGTAAAAAAAGCAGTGGATGCATTGAAAGGGTGAGCTGTCGGATGATAGACAGCAACCAGGCATAATTGGCGCACTAACAGCTGTCTAGCGCGCATCCATACGAAGAACCCGCCTATGAAGTTTACAGGATGGAAGACATGTGAAAGAAGTGAGTATTAGCTGGAAATCTTGTAGCATCTGACCAGCATGAAATGCCACATTCTCTGCACTTACATCATTCAATATACGGAGTTCGAATGATAGGCTGTTGCTTTGTAAAATGTGCCACGGGACCAATTGACCGACATCCTAACCATCCTATGTGAACCACGTCATTAATCACCATCTAGGGTCGTGAGCTAGTCCAAGTTTCCTTTCGAAGCGCATGTATGAACAGAGTGAAGAGGTCTTCCGCAGGGGATATCCGTAGTCAATTGTTAGGTAGATTATAGCAATACATCTGAACATTGGCCCGTTGCAACCCTTATATACGTTGCTCCATGGTCTCAATCCCCTAGACTAGCCCCTGTCCTGTAGCTTCGCGGGTGCCTCCCAACACTTCTAGTGCCCTGATGTCAAAGCGTTGTTTAGAGCAGAGTGAAGGGGTCTTCCGCAGGGTCCGCAGATAGATAGAATATAGGTATAGGATAGGAATACATCTGAATTCTAGCCCTCCGTAGCTTAGGGGGCTATCCGCAGCCTATATATACGTTCTCTCTAGGCCCTTAGCTCCCTAGCTAGCCCCTTAGCTTAGTAGCCCCTTAGTAGCTCTATAGGGGTCCTAATATAATCCCCCCCTCTAGGACTCCTAGTCCCTAGGAGTTAGTAGGAATAGCCTTACTCCGGAGCTTTCTTCTTATCGCTCCGTATTACGCCCGCATTACGCTACGGCGGAGCCCTTCTCTCGTAACTACCTAGCCGGTCTTCGTAAATTAGAAGGAGGCCCTATTAATCGATTTTTAGCGTTTTACTATAGCCTATTTCTAACTCTCCCTCTTTAACCCTCTATTACTTACTATTTATAAATCCCTTTTAATCTATATCTCCCTATTACTTTAATTTACTAATTATAATATTTTCTTTATTATTTTAGTATTAAAATTAAAGAATTAATAAATCCTATAATTATAATAATACTATTTTACTATTAATAAATTATTTAATAGCTATAGTATTATTATTATTACTATAATTATATATACTCTATAGCTCTCGTCCTATAATATATTATATTAACTTTTTATAAATAGATAGACTATTTTACTTTAAAAGAGTAAGAGAGGATCTAAACCTAAGCCTTAAAGAGCTATATTCTTAATTAAACTAAGGAGAAGGAGATCGAGTAGCTATAGTACTACCTAGCTACTTAGCTATAAGATAGTATAGAGCGTAAAGTACTCTATATACCCTATATATCCTATATTATATAGTATTAGTCTATTAATTACTTTAACTAGGAGGGGGCTACTATAGCTACCTCATACTCTAAGTATACTTATAGTAAATATTAAGTATACTAAGGTATAACTAGGTAACGATCGAAGAGGTTAAGTAATAATATAAAATAGAATAGT